TCCGTGTTAAAGACGTGAGCGCCACACGTGTTCACCGCCGATGTGATCACTCGCAGAAGCTTTTTAAACAGCGCCACGTGATCACAAACTGGAAGTTTAGAAGAACAGTGCAACAAATCAGTTGTCAGATTGCGCCTCCATGTGAAAAAGTTACATAACTTCTGTATTGAAGTCAAATTCTGCAGCTGTTCCGAACAAAAACACAATCCTTTGCTTCCCGCCAAGAAGATTCGTTTAGAAAAACTACAATGAGGCAGAATGTTCCGTTTTTCTGCTGGACTTTGGGACGTGGTGAAGGATAGATGAGGCGATCTGGTTTGGGGGCAGATTGTGACCTCTGACCTTCGGGGGGAGATCGAGCAGCGGTCACGGCGACGACAGATCCTTACAGAGATGACACGCTACTCAAACTATGGAATCGACTTAGTTTGAAACGATTTCGGGGTCAGTCGGCGCACAACGGCGGTTTTATTGTCACCGAATGGAATTGTGCTGTTTTGTCTACCACTTGCGAACGAGAGCTTGTGAAAACGTCCACATTGTCCACCCGTCTTTTGTCCAGTTATCACCTCTGAGTGGACATGACACGTTTCACGCGCGGTGGGTTTCTTTTGAATGCGTGCACCTGCTCCGAGAGGAAAGAGGGAGCCGAGGAGACGAAGATAAGAAGCGTACAGTCAATGTTGGGCACATCTGGGATTAGTCTTAACCTTTCTGAAAAGGGTTAATAGCCGACGAGGCAACGCTCGCTTCTTTCAAGTTCGGAGCGCGCATTCTTCCACAGGCCCCGCCCCCTCGCTTCTCACAGCTGGGACACAGTGAGGGGAGCGGCGAGGGGCCCGTCTGCCAACCCCCCCGGCTCGATAAGAAAGGTGAGAGGTAAACATTGACCCGAGTCCTATCGCCGCTTGTCCAGGTCCATCCTTCACAGGGGAAACTGTGCAAACAGCAGGGGACGCACTGATAACTCTCTTTCACTCCGGGCCGTAAAACGTTGAGTATCGCCTGATAGCGAGGACCAGACCCCTCAGCTCAGGGTCCTTGTGCCGAACAACATCAACACATTGCGCCTCCCACCTCTGAGCGTCTCATCCATTCACCCTTTCATGATCAGGGGTTTGATGTGAGAGACCTCTGATTCGAAGTGTGCTTTTTGGTACTGTTGTTTTTTAGGAACTACTCTAAGGCTCGTTTCTGCTGCTGGACGTGTGAAAAACAAAGCCCCGTCGCAGCAGGAAAGGCGGAGGTGGCCGGGTGTTGTTGGGTCGCCATCAAACCTCTTGGTAGGAAGGTGGAGACCGACAAATAGTGTTAGATGGTTTCTTGTAACCGTGACCACTGACTTTTCCTGTCACATGACGGATTAACATTGAAGTGTTGCTGGTGTTCAGGTGTATATCTGGATACCAGGTAATATCAGGTCAAAGACCCGTTGTTGAAAGTCCTGATTGGCCACTTCAGACTGAAGACTGGAGTCGGAGAAGACCTGTTCGACTAGATCTTTTTGACAGTTGACAAATGAATGAAACGTTTCTAAATAGCTCAAATGTTCTCAAACGATATCTGATTTTGTTTGTTAAGATTGCGTCTCGACCAATACGATCCGACTACTTACCTGCATTCCACCACAGCCTGCTGGAGTACGATTGAGTGAGAAAGCGTCTTTAAGCGGCATCATCCGTAGTGACCAGCAGGGGGCGACTCTCTGGTCCCACAGAAGACGACTCCACTTCTCCCTTGATTTATTCCCTCAGTAAACATCGTAAACATGAGTCCATGGTCTCAATCTCTAGTTTCAAGTCTTCTCCACTATAGCATGAGGTTCATCTTCAGTCAAACAGACCATAAAGCAGGGGGACGCTTTAGAGCGGAAATACGCAAGTGTCTACAAACCAACTGGTGACGCGATGAAGACTTTGTCCACTTCCTCTATGCGGCCTGTCCGTGAACCACAATGCCTCCTAAAACAACGTCTTCGCCCACACTGAATGCGTTCATCCGTTCATAAGTCCATTCATCTTGTCTTGGTCTTTTATCGCTGATCGCTGCGTTGCTCTCGGATGGAAATGCTGTTGCCGTGTGAAGTGCAGGTAAGACGACACGCGTTTCCGCTCTGTTTGCTCTCAACTTGTTGCTTCCAGTCCGTACGTTTCATGATCCCGTCTACGTATTTTCAAGGTTTAATTTGATTATTTTTATTGAATTCCTAGTCTAGACAATGAGTTCAAACTGAACCAGAGAGAATTACCAATGTGGACGTCTTTTGGGGCCCTCTGCCATTTTTAAAGTAACAATCACTCCTTTAAAACTGTTCCCTTGAAAAAAAGACTGTGCTCAGTTCCATTAAAAGGTCAAACCGAGAGCCTTCTTCAGCCCTGTGGGACTGGAGGTGTAACCAGCGAGCAGCTCCAGAGGCAGAAGAGTTGCAGGGAGCCGGGAAGCCCAAACTGGGAGGATGAAGATGAAGCAGTAAAAGCACAGAACAAGGTTCAAACAAGAGAAGAAAGCTGATACGAGATGACCCGTCTGTTAATGGCTAACTGGATCGGTACACGTGTAGACAAACACGGCGCCCTTCTACACCGGCTTCCCCTGTAAGCAAACATATGTGCAGGCATTTGTGCACAAATACATTACCAGAAGAGAGAAACGTCGCTCCTCAGAATTCTGTCTGTTACACTGACATTGCTTCAAAGTGTTCTATTTGAGTCTATGTGATCGATAAAAGTTATAAAAGTCGCCTCCAGCCGCCTCGGGCAGGACTCTGAGTTATCGACCCTGTGTAGGACGATTGGTTTCACACATACGGACAAAGCTTTATTACCCCATCATGTCAGAGAACACACACTCGTGCATGCGTGTGTAAACACTTTCTAATGAACACCAACGTCAGGATATTGAATCTATATATACATACATATATATGTATATATATGTATGTATATTATGTGGTCTGCACATGCAGTCTGTGAACCAGGAAGCGCTTCAGGTGGGCACATTTATTCATCTCTGTCTTGGAGGAATTCACAGAAGAAAGACGAGCTGGGATGCTGGCAAGGTCTTTAGCTTAGAAACAGACTTTACCATGGGTGGGGTGGGTGGGGTGGCAGAATGACCCCCTTTTGGAGAACAAGCCTGTCAGATATGCATGCATGAGAAGCTGCCTCGTGCTGTGCTATCTTGTAGAACAACCAGAGGTCCGTACCTGCCTCCCCTGCTGAGAGTCTCTGCAGCTGCCGGGACTCACGCAGCCCCCACGCGACCAGCTGGTTCGCCCCCCCACCCCCCTCCTGACTGGCACGACTTGCCCACTGAATTCCTGGCAGAGTTATTTGCTTTTCCAGCGTCTTTGTGGTATTTCTGGTGGGTTGCGAAAGCTTTGAGATACACCACCTGATCTCCAGTCAAGTATGAAGTTCAATAAACATCGATGGGAATTCTGACAAGAGCCTCCAAGAACATCAGTATGGAAGGTGAACTTCTCATCTTCTGTTGGATGTAGCCAGATATTGTCCACATGCATCCATTCAACATCAAACAGTGAAGAGCCTCTGTGGCTCTGTGAGGTCGTTGTGAGGTCTGTGTCGCCTCCTGCTGGTCGGACATCGCAATGTGTTCATTCATCACAGGGCAATTTACCAGAGGAAAGGTTGAGCACAAAATATTGTTTCCTTCCACTTTTAATCTCATGATTTCACTTATGAAAGTTTTGGTATCAGCCTGTCGTTTGCCCCGCCCCCCCCATTGGGGGCGGGACATCATCTCCACAGAGTGCTGCAGGGATCCTCCTATTGGATGATGCACCATTAGAGAAAATAAGCTCTGTGGCAAACAGGTTTATGAGGCTTTATGTTCCGCAAGATAATCTTCACATATAAACACATTTTTCAGACAAATTACCAACATTTTTGAAAATATCCACTTTCTGCCTAACTGAGCTGCAGAAATGTCCATCTGACAAGCTGCTGTTGCATAATTGAGCCCTGTGCTTCGTGTCTCCAGACAGCATTGTGCGAGGTCCTGAGGCTGCACTGAACCGTAAATGCTGGTTCGCTGTGTGTGTGTGTGTGTTGATAAAGACAAAGGGTGTGAGTTTCTGCTGCACCAAGACCCCCTCTCTGCCTCCTGGAGGTTCATCTATTCAGGGTAAAACGTCAGGATGCTGAACTCTGAGGGAAGCTTGCAGAAGTGTGACATTTCAGGGGGATGGAGAAACTCATCTTACATTAAATTGAATAAAGAACATATCTCCCTTAGTGTTGGATTAGAATACACATACTGTCAGCACATACACATCTCAGCCAATTATCTCTGCATACACACAGGACACCTCAGACTAATTATATTATACAGACTGTCAGCTTGTAGCCCCGCCCTAAAGCGTCCCACTTTATGGTCTGTTAGAGACCTGTCAATCATAGTAAGCCCCGCCATAAAGCAGCCCCTGCTTTACGGTCTGACTGAATGGAGCATAATTCACTAAATGAACATCATGCTGTATTGGAGACTTGAAACCGGAGAAGAAGCATCGGCTTCACTCAGCAGACCTGGTTCTCAAACTCCATTTAAAAAAAAAAAAAATAATAATTTAATAATAAGAGGAACTCCGACCGGTTTTTCTTTTAACTAAAATCTAATCTCTAAAGCAGTGACTAACAATATCTACCTGATCGATGCTATTCATCGCATTACTTTAGAACACTGCACAGTTTGATAATTAATGCCACTTTGAGGGCCCATATTGAGTTTCTCCAGACTGCGTTGTGTGCGGTCCGATAAAGGCTTTTAATCTGAAAAGCTTCTTCGTGGGGAGTCTCACATGTCTGCGCTGCAGAAGTCCAACAACAAGTCAACATCCTCAGTGACAGTTTCATGCATTTCTCAGACAACTAAATGTTCAATAATTAGATTTTAATTCCACTTTGGTTTAGATTTTTTAGAGTCAAGGCCTGAACCTCCTGGACCTGAACCTCCTTAAGACTGTTTAGAGACCAGACGGGTGAGCGGATGAATTCTTTATTGAGACTGATGACCACAAAGACAAAGCGGCTGTTTTCTGCGATTAGGGTTAATGTCTTGAATGATTTGTGTAAAGAGGTTATTGGTTAGACTTTCTTGGCGGCTTTGCGGGAGCTTTCGACGGCGTCGATGAAGAACTCGTTGCAGGCGACGGTCAGCGCGGCGACCAAGACGACGAACTCCTGGAAGTCCACCTCCCCGTCCTGGTTCTCATCCAAGTCGTGCATGATCTTCTCCACCACACAGGGGTCCTTGCTGGCCTGAAACAGAAGAATCATTTTTAAAGAGCAGATTATTATCGCTCCCCCACTCAATCTTTAGTGTGTTGTATCAGAATGAACTTCTCATATGGAGAAGGAACTAGTCTTTCGCGTACAGTGACGAGACCTACAGTCTTACTGTAAGATGACATTAAAACAAATATTCTGCAAGTCCTGTTTCTGGCTTCGGTCTGGATTCTCACCGACAGGAAGTCAGCGAGTTCCCCCTGCAGAAGGTTCTTCAGCTCCCCCCGGCTCAGCTTGTACTTGTCCCCTTCTTTCCCAGAGTAGGAGTGGAACACCGCAATGAGGCCCTCCATGGCGGTTTGCAGCTGGGTAGCCATTGTGCGGTCAGAAAATCAATGCCTAGAAGTTAGTTTCTGCAAAAGGAAAAAGAAAATGTCAGTTACCGTTTTGACCAAACAGAAGAGATTTGTCTGCAGAGGACGATCAAATGTTTCAGTGCAAGAGGACAAGTAATAACTGCAGGAAGCAGAGAGGTTACTTTGAAGGTCAGACGGGTTTTTATGTACCGACAACTTCCTGCAAATGGAACAAAAGATTGACATGGAAGTTATAAGTGACCTGCTGCCGCTTAGATTCACCCTGAGGAACAATGAAAAGGTTTTGATCTTTAAGCTGCACTTTACAAAAGGTTTAACCTGATAAACTAATCGACATCTGTCAGAGGACGTGCAGTCGTTTCAAGCAGCGCGGGAAAGCAAAGGATGCATGTTTCAGTCTTCGCAATAAGTTAAAATTGCATTTAATATTCATATAGTTTAATGCAGGAATTAAATGTTGGCCAACAAAAAGTCAGTTTGGAGAAAGATGCACAAAACTTCTTAATATGGAACAAAAGGTAGAAGTATTTTGTCAAAGGTCTGAGGCCATCCATCCCTCGTGGTACCAACCTGCTGAAACTTCATTCGCTGCTGAACAGTCAAGTGACCCGAGGCACAGTTTGTCCATCAGCATTCACAATCCCATGATCCTCTTTGTGAAGGACCAGCATGACCTACCAGCTGTAACTGGAGAACACATCCCACTCAGGAACCTAAAGTTCTTTAAATCGTCGCATTCCCTCCTAAATGCATTTATTATTCCCATGACACAAGAGACAGACGAAGTTGAAACGGTTAAATCCAAACAAAATATCCAAACTTAATCCTCCTTCCCTTTCACTAAAAAGACACCCGAGCTGGAGGGGGGGAGACGCTGAGTCATTACACCGCCACCCTCGATGAACCAATGGAGCACGAAAGGACAGACCTCCTGCAGCTTGCACACGTTACCTTACATGAACTACACCTCAAGAGGAGAACGGTCATATTTCACCTTTTGGGATATCTGGTCGTTTGGGTCGACACCGGATTGTCTGAGGAGGCTCGTCCGTTTGAGGGGACACGCGTCTGATTAAAGGGAGACGTGCTGTCATTAATTGTCCGATTGAAGGGAGACGTGCGGTCATTAATAATGCAGCGCAGGCGCCTGCGTCACAGGGAGCACGAACGGTCTCTGCAGACCGAGAGGAGAAAGTGCTCCATCACGCGCCCTCAGTCAGGCTCCATGACGTCCGTTACTCATTCACTGCAACCGGGAGCTGATTAAACACCTTTCAAAGGCTAGTGTCAATCAACGGAGGCTCAGGCTAAAGCACGAACTGTTTAACCAGACTGCAATTATAAGACAACAAATAAAAATAAAAAAATAAAATTTGAACTTCATCCTGGTCGCGAATTAATTTCTTGTTCTACTTACAAACAACGAGGGACTCACCTGAATGCTGCTGGTGGAAGTGGCTCCAGTTCTCATCTCATGAGTTATATGCGCTCCTCTCACCTGTGTGCAAATGAGCGTGGATCTGGTAAGCTCCTCCCCCTGGACCGCTGCACAGGTGGGCCGCCGGGCCATGTAAGGCAATCACAGGCGCTTTACTGCCGCTGGTCCCAACTTTCACCTCACATGGCAGGAGAAGCGAGGCTGTGGCCAATAACCCAGCATGTTCAACTCCTGCTACGGAGATATTCAACACACACGGACTGATCCCAATCACACCGTCCACAGGTGTTAACTCATCCGTGTAATTTAAAGAAAAGTATTTTATTCTATCGTCTTTGACACACATTGCTATTTGATATTTTATCTTTGTTTGATTTCATTTTCAGTAATTTGAAGCGAGCTTTACATATATAATTCACCAGGTGAACATGCTAGACCAAATGCAACATTGTTACACAATATATATATATATATATATATATATATATATTAAATGCCTCTAGGGATTAAGCAGGCGAAGGCCGGGCTTCTGGGAGAATTCAAAGCGGTGGGGTTGATTTACATCAGTATCTCCAGATCACCAATATAAATGCTTTATGGACATTTGCATGCTTCCAGTTAAAGACCTAAGTGCGCTTGATACAGGAATGCAAAAGAGAAAACAGTTGCAGTAGTTATGAGATCATCTCAATTTCCCTCTCAGGGCAGAAAGGTGAAACATGACCTCAGACAAAACCCTCACAAAGCAGCCTGTCCGGATTCTGTCTCCCCCTACACAAGCATTGTGATGATCCGCTGTCTCCAGTGTTCACAGACATCAACACCTCCCTGGAGACATGCCACGTACCAGCCTGCTTCAAGGCCTCCACCATCATCCCTGTCCCCAAGAAGCCCAGGATCACAGGACTCAATGACTACAGGCCCGTCGCCCTGACCTCTGTAGTCATGAAGTCTTTTGAACGGCTAGTCCTGACCCACCTGAAGTCCCTCACCGACCCCCTCTTGGACCCCCTGCAGTTCGCCTACAGAGCCAACATGGTGTCAACATGGCCCTCCACTACATCCTCCAGCATCTGGACTCCCCAGGAACCTACGCCAGGATCCTGTTTGTGGACTTCAGCTCTGCTTTCAACACCATCATCCCGTCTCTGCTGCAGGACAAACTCTCCCAGCTGCACGTGCCCGACTCCACCTGCAAGTGGATCACAGACTTCCTGTCTGACAGGAAGCAGCACGTGAAGCTGGGGAAACATGTCTCAGCCTCTCGGACCATCAGCACCGGTTCCCCCCCAAGGCTGCGTTCTTTCCCGCTGCTGCTCTTCTCCCTGTACACCAACAGCTGCACCTCCAGCCACCAGTCAGTCAAGCTCCTGACACCACCCTGATTGGACTGATCTCTGGTGGGGACGAGTCCGCCTACAGGTGTTGTTTCCGTTTCCTGGGCTCCATCATCACCCAGGACCTCCCAAGTGGGAGCTGAACATCAGCTCCATCACCAAGAAGGCTCAGCAGAGGTTGTTCTTCCTGAGGCAGCTGGAGAAATTCAACCTGCCAAAGACGCTTCCAGCACCCTGCTGCAAGCTAAAAAGATTACTTAAATTTATAGTTGGACTGTTAATTTACAGATATCTTTATTTTTACAGTGTTTTGTACATACTTTTAAAAAAACAGAAAAAGTACTGCAAGAAAAGTTATTTTCCGTAAAATGAGTATATTTTTTACAGTGTGGCCCTTTTCTTGCCCCAATACAATGTTTCCAACTGTTACATTCAGCTGCATCATTTATGGAAACCAGAAACCTCCTTTAGATTACAAATAGAGATTACAATTAGAAAAAAAGAAGAAACCCTTTCTTTGACTTACTGAGACCAACTGGATGTGTGAAAGTAAGCCTGTCATCTCTCTTTTGTGAGGGGAACCAAAGTCACCCTCTCTAATTACTGCTTTTAAAACCAACCACAGAGACCCACCATGACCCGAATTCTGTAAGCGACCAGACAATAAGTCTGGTACTGGTAAGTACAACAATACGGAACGCTCAGCAAACAAATGATGATACGTGTCTGATTCTGGGCCAAATATTTTATTATAATATTTAAGTTTAAGAAGTAGTTTTCTTTCTCTCATCAGTACAGACAAGTTTAACATTAACAAATGAAGTAAACAACAAAGGCATCGAATCAGAATAACATGTACTTGTAATATCGCTTGAACCTTTAGAACAGCGCTTGTTTCACAGTAAATACTCAGCAGCTATTATTTCACAGCAACATTTTAAAACAACATATTTCTGGCATATTTAGAGTATATTGATGAAATTAATCTCTGAATCTCTTTCCTCTCTCTCAACATGAAAATAATGAGTTCAAGGGTGTCATCTGCTGGCCATTTGCAAACTGCACAATGACACGTAAACCTGTCTTCAAGTTGTTACACAACGACTGCATGTAAGAATGAAAAGGAAAATAACTTCAGAGAAACATTCAGCTCAAGTTTAAAAAGCATTCAAATCGGCACGTGCAAGTTGACTTAAAAAAGGGTCTAAAGAGAAATGATCAGCAGTGCAAACAACAGTGGATGGAAGTACAAATATGTAGACTTAGGAAGTACAAATCTGTTGTTATTTGCATGAAGCCCTTTGGGAAGTATCGTGTGACCGGTTTGGCCATTGACGTGCTCGTGGTCTCCTGAGCGTGACAGAGCACGGCGCTCTCACAATGCGGCGCTTTCCCGCTGCCGCGCTTCTTACCTCGAGTGCAGCACGGGGGATCCCTTTTGCGGCCCTTTCAGAGCCGATCGCGTGGCACTTGGCCTTTTCTGAGACGGCGCAGAAAAAATATCTTTATCTTGCTAACCTTTTGGTCAAAATGCAACCATAGGGATTTGTCTCTGATTTGACTGCTCAGTGACATTCCGCTCGTTCTTGGGTTCTGCTTCTTTCTCCACTCTATGTTTTGCTACTTCCAGGTTCGGGTCTTCAATGAAGGTCCCAGTCACAGAAGCGCTTCCTGCAGAGGACGTTCGGCTCTTAACACTGTGAGTCCTTTTCTGGGTCGCTGTTGGCTTGCCCAGGACACCTTTTAGCTGGGTCCAGAAAAAGGCCTGCTGGTTGACCTGCTGGGGCCACTCCAGGTACGTCTTGGTGCGCAGCATCTTCTTCAGCTTCAGGTACTTGCTGGGCAAGGAGTTTGGATCCATTGGTTCCTTCACCACCAGTATGACGTCACTGAAGGTCTTTCCCACTGCTCTCTGCTGGGCGAAGTACAGCTCATAGTTGCACCACTCGCTGTTAACGAAGTGCCGAGAGAGAACAAATATTACCTGAGAAGTGAAGACAAAAAAGAGGCGTTGATGAAGAAGACGTTGATTATATTTGCTTTGTAATATTGGGTTCTACATTGTGTTTTTTGTGTTCCGACCCGGCGGCCATGTTACCTTACGACTGCTTTCAATGTTGTCAATGATGTTATCGATTATCCACCTTCCTGGCATGAAGTCCCTCTCATGAATGCACAGACGATAGGAGTTCCCATTGCTCTCCAAACAAGGCAGGAGCTGGTTCCTCACCCAGTCCGCGTCAGAGTGGCTGTACGATATAAAGGCGTGATAAGTAAAAGCTCCGCCTTCCCCTGCCGCTTTCTCTTTGTGAGCTCTGTATTTGGCCCTGACGATCTGATACGTGGCTTTAGTGTACCACGGTAGGTCAAAAATATAGCATATCAGCATCAATGTCAAGATCACCACTGCCGTGGTGGTGACGCTGATGATGACAACTAGTCGGATATCACAAGCCACTTGACTCGGGAGGAACTTGGATATGACTGTGTTGCGCAAGGACTCCGGGTGGTAACACCTGTAGTTCCAAGGCCAGTCTGTGAGGTTGACCTTCGCTTTGTTCATCGTGTCCTGGACGAAGGAGTGGAGCTCACAGGTGCAGTGGTAAGGGTTGTTCCCCGCCTTCAATTGGGAGAGTTGAGGCATGTCCTGGAAGGACGCCCTGCTTATAAGACCGAACGAGTTCCCATCCAAAGCCAGCGACTGCAGCGACGAGCTTTTCCACATGGAGGGGATGAACTTGATTTTGTTCCCGCTCAGCAGGAGCTCTTTTAGGCTGGTGGCTCTCTTAAAATAACCCATGTCCAGCTGGTCCAGTTCGCAGTAGGACAGGTCCAAGTATTGCAATGTGGTGGGAAGACATCGGAGGGCTTCGCTCTCGAACGGGTTGTGGTGAGCGACGAGCCGAGTGATGCTTTTGTGCCACACGCAGTCCCGACTGTTGCCAGCAGATCCCAGTTGGTTGTTACTCAAATCCAACACCTGCAGCTGCTGGAACTCCTTAGTGAGCAACGAAACTACTTTCAAGCTGGTCAGCTCATTGGTGTTGATTTGGAAGGTGCGAAGATTGGGCATGGCGCCCTGGTAATTGCACCGCTGGTTGAAGATGAACTCGTTCTTAAGTCGATTGTTGGAGATGTCCAGATGCTCCACGCCTTCCATCTCCACCCAGGAGTCGCAGGGCGACGAGTTGAAGTCCACGTGCTGAATGGAGAGTTTCTTAATTTTGTTGAACCAGGTGAAGCGCCAGTCGAATCGCAGCACATCTGGATTGCTGACATACCTATGAGGATGACCGATTTGGGATCAGCATTTCTCTTGATTTTTGAAAATACTTTGCTTTATTGCCTTCTTGTACCAAAGGTGATTTACCAAATGTTGACAGTCAGCTAAACATCTAACTGTCATTATACCAATGTGTTAGAAACCAAAAGGTTTGCTTCAGGAATTAGATTAGAAAGGAGTCAGTTCTGGGAGATTGCTCTGGGGGGAGCTTGCAATTTATATAACTGATTAAATCCACTTTCAAAAGCTGCAGGGTTATAAGAACTTGCATATTTTAGATTTTGCTTGTATTCTCATTATGATTTGTGTAATCAACATAATACTCACATACTTTCATGAATATGTTTTACATTTTAAATGTCTATGCTTGCGACAACAAAACCACAGGTACACGATGCCCCAGAATGAGACGCTACTCACCAAATATCCAACTTGTCCAGTGCCAGGTCTGTGATGCTGGAACTCGCTCCGCTGTCGACAAATGTGGGTGAGCGGGCAAAGTCGATGTACTGCAGCCTCAAGCTTTTGATAGGCGTCACCTGTAGGTTTATCAATGCCATCCTGAGCAGATTCTCATTGAATTTACCTCTGTGAAAGATGAGCTGATGGGCTGTGATGTATTTTAAACCCTGGAAAATGTCCTCCTCTCCCATGTAGTACATGAACTCAAAGAGGTTGCGGAATTGGATGGCGCTGAAGGTCTTGTTGGCCAGGTCACGTAGCATGTGAGGGAGCGCACTCGGCTGTTGATCTATGGCCATATCGAAGCCCATCTGGTTTGTTTGGATGACTTCTAAACTTCCGGGCTCGTAGTATTTCAGATTAGTAGAACACTTGATGGCAAAACCTTGCAACCGGATGTTCTTCAGCGGCTGAAAATCAGCTTTCTTCAGACCCATCACCAAAGGACCGCCCATGGATAGAACTTTGAGACTGACCAATCTGGAAAAGCTTTTTGCCAAGGTTGCATGTTTGTAAAGGTTATTGGACATGTTGAGCACCTTCAGATTCAGAAGAGGAGTCAGAGCGCTGGCAGGAATTTCCGCCAGGGAGTTATTGAAGACGTCCAGATGCTCCAGTAGCCCGTTGTTTTTAAAGGCCTCGCTGTCGATGTGCGAGATGTTATTGTACTGCAGCTTCAGGACGCGGAGCTGCGCGAGGTGGTGGAAGTCGTCGGCGTGGACCGCCTGAAGCTCGTTGAAGGAGAGGTCCAGGTCCTCCAGCGTGGAGGGAAACTGTCTCCAGGGGACACGCTCCAGCTGTCCCCCCGTACAGTCTGCAGCGCGGCCCAGGTTGTAAATGCGACAGGGTCCTCCGTCAGTGCTGGTGGTGCGCGGGGAGGACGGAGTTGGGGATGTGAGTGCTCCGAGGAGGACGGCACTAAAATAGATCAGCATCCCAATCATCAGACAGCCTTGTAAGACAAGAAGAGGAGAGATTAAAATGTTGGCCTTCTCTTCTTTAATCCACAGAAAAAGGTTATTTTTAGTAAATAAATACAGAATAGTCTCCTTTTTTCTATCATTGTGCTCTTCATGTCTGTTTACTTTATTTTCTTCAGTCTCTCTCATTTCCATTCGTTGTTGTAGTTTAGCTCAACTCATCTCAACACTGTTCTCTTCTCTGCTACTTGGGATCTTTTTTACCACTAAGTAAACGTAGACACTCCCTGAAAGGCTAAAATAGCATTGAGACACGCAGAGAAATCGTGATGAATAAGGCATGATGTGACATGATCATCCACAAGCAATTTTCCATAATTTCCTATTCGGTCATTACATAATATAAAAAGCGTTTAGCTCCTCCCGAAGGGCGTGCGAACCTCACAGACGCCACATGTCACTCTACCTGCTTTCATTGTGTGCTCTCGAGCAGCAAGTCTGACAGACTCATCCGTATGAAAGAGACGTTTCCACCGGTTGTCCCTCACGCAGAATGAACTGCAGTCTCCTGCCTAAGGCTCTCAATGCAGACTCAGACTCTGCTTGTTTGTGTTACGCTGGCCCGAGGCCACACTCCTCCTCATACCGAGGAGCCGTCCAGCTTTATAGCCCCCTAAAGCAAACAGTGTGGGTTTTAGTCCAGAAGTGACGTGATTCCCTATTTTTATAAGGCAACCTTTGACGGCTTTGACAGCCACCACAATAAACAAGGGGCAATAACTGTGAATTCATTTAGTCAAACACCATGAAATTGAGTGTCTGATGATGTGTGCAGTGGATAAACCCCTAAATAATTGAAATGTGTACAGACTTCTTTAATCATACAGCAGGCGTGATGCTGAGAGCTGCACGGCTCTTTAGTCTGACAAACAGCTGCTGCTGATCAATAATATTGACTCAATGAAACTCATGAAACACACGTTAGTGTACAATTAGGAGGAGGATATTACTCTTGTAATTGTCAGCACTGGTCCTCGATCCCAACGTATCTCTTAAAAGGGAAGTCTTCCACTTCCTTTTTACGAACGTATGACCGATCGTAACATGTTTCAGTTTACTGGCGTGTGAATCTCGGGCTGGTTTGCCAAAAAGGGGAAAACCAAAACATCAAAGACGAAGCTTGTTTTCAAATGGGTTGGTTAAAGGAATTATATTACTCTCATGTATTTCATGTTTCCATACAGGAATTCAAAAACAGCAAAACGCGGTTGAAATCCTGCAAACCAGCGAGATTTCTGGATCCAGAAATGCACATGCGTGGTTAGAAATTAACTCTTTATCTCTGGATGGTGGGATTTACTCGCGTGTTCAGTTTGCTTCCGTTAAAGGAATGTGCACCAATACGCTGGCAGAGCCGCCGGCCGTCCTCCACTTCAACCTCGGTTATCATCCCTCCGGCTTCAGAGGAAAGGCAGCGCCAACGCGCCTTTGTGCTTTCGAGATTCGCGGCTCACGTGACCCTTTTTCCCGGGCGATATCTTCAGCGGGTCGGCCCGCTCGGCTTTATTCAGAGGCCAATGGCGGCAGTGGTTCTTCTGAATTGGTGTCGCAACGCACGAGTGGAAAGAAGTCAGAACTGAAAGCTTTCGCCCTGACGGGAAGTCTCGTTGTTCAAAAAGTGCACTGCTTGTGTATTTAAATCAGTGACGGGAAAAAAACTAAAGAAAATAAAAAGGTTGCCAATTTAGCCCACAGACATTAGACACGCCACAAAGACAGCTGATCCCCCTTCTCTGCAAGCTAGAGGACATTTCACGCCAACACGATGCAGAGAAATATTACCAAACGCCAACATAGGCGATAGAGGTCTTTCTGCAGGTAGTCTTTCTGCAGGTTGTCCTACTGCGTTGTGGGAATATGTGATCAATAGCAAGTCGACGCAACACATGCTGCACTTTAGGCTCCATTGTGAGGTGGCAGCGATAAAAGAATCAATTCAACGCTCTGCTATTGATTTAACTGTGATGTCTCTGTGAACGCGCAAGTGGACGACGTCGCCCGAGAGAGCTCGGGCCTCCGTTACCGCGTGTTTACCCAGGAGTCAATAATTAATGGCAAAACGGCTCTTTGGTGTGTACGAAGCGTTGATCCGGCGGCCGCCTGCTTCCCCGCCGTGGGCTAACGTGTTTACGCGGGATGCACAAACACAGCTGCACGGACACTTGAGCGGGACGTCCCAGCTCGCAGGTCATTCCGTCCTCTCCCCGCTCCCACCGGGGGGGAACCGCAGATAGATCCAGCTGTTTTGGACGTGGCCATGCATGGATGATCCACATTTACCCATTACGTCGTTTCTCTTCCTCAAACAGACGTGACGGTGCTCCCTTTGACAAACTGCAGGCTGTGATGTCAGCAGCTTGTAATGGAAGGATTCTTTGTTTGGGAGTAGTAGATTGACTGAAAATTACCCGAAGCAAACAAAACACACACTTTTCAATCTTCCATTTTGCTGGTTTTGTGGAAATGCTGTGGTCACATGGTAGAACTCAGCGGCTGAGTGACATTGCGTACGGTCGCGTCCCTTCCTCCCCTTTTCCAGCAGTCCAATAATGTCCCTGAAGTTGGTAAAGCGCTCACTAGCTTGGTGTATCTGATTTAACTCCAGCCTGGAGCAAAGCTTTCAAATGGACGTCGGGGCTGTTTGGAGAGTTGCTCGCATAATGAACGGAGGAGAATTCCACGGAGAGGAACAGATTAGTGAGGGTTGTGACCTCGGTGAGTCAGACCAGCTAAAGTTTCACTAAATCTGTCCTTGAGAAGCCCTGGACCACAAACGAGTGAACCCTGACTGCAAGAGTTCCACATAGGACATTGTGGCTTTACAATGTGAGAAAGTGTTTCAGCGGCTTCATTCTTCTCTGTTAAAATCTACTCATGAATGCTATTGCACAGATGAAGAAGAGGAGGAAGAGGCGTGATGAGATGTGTACAGTAATTACTCCGTTACAGGAACAAGGGCTAAAAATAAAATAAACGTTGCAACAACTTAAACGTCTCTACGGCCTCTGAGAGGAAACAATGCACAGTACCGAACAATGAGACCTGTGTGTGAGGATTCCACCTAAATGCTCCCGCCTGCCGCCCGTAGATCGCCGAGTGACTAACACCAAAACAAGTGGAGCAACGCCAGCGCATTCTTCTTGATTACGATGACAAACTACGTCAGACTGCTGACAGAAAGCAGCTTGGCTCTCTACAGGGAGTTCAGCCAATGCACCGCTGCAGCCGCACAGGTGCCAACAGGGAGAGACGGGCACCTCACCAGATAAGACTGCTGCTGGTTCATCTCTGTTTCTATGAAGGAATTGGTTTTTAAAGGCACATTGGACATTAACATTGAGGATGCCTCATGTCATCCAAGCGCTCCGTCATGTGATTGATTCCAAAACCAGTCCGGACTGACGACTGATCGGATACAATTACATGGATTAGACAATCATTTATTCCTCTCAAACCACATAACTACACAACCGTGGCAGGAGATTCCCGCCGCGTCTTGCTTAGAAAAGGACACCAGCCGAGCCTGTTTACAGGTTGGAAAACTGGGTGGGGCTCTCAGGCACAGTCTTAAGCTGGTTCAGGTCAGATCTACAAGACAGGAACTATTTTGTTTCCATTGGTGACTTCGTATCAGAAACAACCGACGTAACGTGTGGAGTCCCCCAAGGTTCGATCTTAGGGCCGACTTTATTCAACATCTACATGCTCCCACTAGGACAAATCATGCAAAAAAATAAAATTGACCACCATTGCTACGCTGATGACACCCAAATCTATGTAGGGCTATCACCAAACGACTATCGCCCCATAGATCTTCTGTGCCAGTGCATTGAGCAAATCAAAGACTGGATGTGTCAAAAGTTCCTACAACCAAATGAAGACAAAACTGAGATCATTGTATTTGGTGCTAAAAAAGAAAGGTTTAAAGTAACCCAACACCTTCACTCTCTGTCCCTGAAAACATCAAATAAAGCCAGAAATCTGGGGGTTATTATGGATTCAGATTTACACTTGGAGAGTCACATCAAATCAGTAACACAATCGGCCTACTACCACCTCAAAAATGTCGCACGACTTAGAGGGCTCAGGTCACCTCAAGACTTAGAAACACTTGTACATGCCTTTATAACTAGTAGGCTAGACTATTGTAATGGTCTCCTTGCAGGTCTCCCAAAAAAAACTGTCAGGCAGCTCCAGCTTGTTCAGAACGCTGCTGCTAGAGTTCTAACAAAGACCCAAAAATGTGAGCACATTACACCAATTCTTAAATCCGTACATTGGCTCCCAGTATGTCAGAGAATTAATTTCAAAATCCTACTGCTCACATATAAATCACTACATGGTTTAGGGCCAAAGTACATCACTGATATGCTTCCACTACACAAGCCTTCAAGATCACTAAGATCTTCTGACACCATCTGTTAGTGATTCCCAGAGTAAATACAAATCATGGGAAAGCATCATTTAGTTTCTACCAACAAACAGCTGGAATAAACTTCCTGAAGATTTAAGACTTGCCCCAACTGACCACGTTTAAAACAAACTTTATGTTCAGCTTCGCCTTCTGCTAAACTTGACCTACATTGCACTTTTAACCTCTGCCTTTAATTAAACAATTTAAATAAGATTTTAATTTTGCTGTTTTTAATTGTCTTTTAATTCCTGCATTTTATTTCACTTTATTGTATGAAATGTTATGATGTGAAGCACTTTGAGTCGGCCTTGTGTGTGAAAAGCGCTATACAAATAAAATATCCTTGCCTTGCCTTGAAAACCTTCATTTAAATCCTCCTTTAAAACCTCTTCACTTCCATTCTCTTCTCCCGTGTCAGACGAGTCAGAAAGTGGCTTCTTGCCAGTTCAGTGATTTTAGCTGCGCTCGTAATGTAGTAATTATTAATGTCAAAACAGATTTCACAAGCTCTTGGTTTGTTGGTCTGAATTTATTTGTTAGTCATCTTTGACTACGACTACCAGCTACTCGTAATGGAATAATAACTAAAAATAGTGAGAGGTAATGAAGTAAGAGTAGCTGTAGTACCTAAATGTTGTACTTAAGTGAAGTACTTGAGTAAACGTGTACCTGGTGACATTCCTTCTGTGTCAGCGGGTACACCTGTTTAATCTGTGCTCAGAGACAAACTCATTCTAGATGAGACACGAGGAGTTGGATGAATGTAAACGCACATTGAGAAATGGGTGTGCGCTTTGTGTCACGCACAAGATACCAGTTCTTTACCACCGTTAATCCCGAAACCATCAGAGCTCAACCCTCCACTCCACAATATTATACAATATGATGTTTGTTAATCAAACTGAAAATAACCCTAAACATGTAGCGAAATAAGTCAACTCACCTCCGACTTGGGGTCAGATTCCTCCGACTCACCAGCTCAGACAGGTTCGAAGGTCCTGTGGAAAACAAGCGTGTGAGAAGTGAGTCAACTGGACCAGTCCGCCCGTGGGTTGTTCTCTCTCTCTCACTCCCCCTCGCTCTCCCTCTGTCTGCCTTTCAATAATCTGTGTGCGTGTGTGTGTGTGTGTGTGTGTGTGTGTGTGTGTGTGTGTGTGTGTGTGTGTGTGGTCTGCTCAGGAATGTGTGGGGAGGACTTTCTTCCTTCACAGAACTCTGTTACACCATTAAAAAGTGTTGTTGCCCTGAAGAGGCTTTTATTCAATCCGTTCACTTACGCTTGGTTTGATTTGTCCGGCTTTTGAGATGTGGACGTTTACATTTTACCCAATAAAGAGAGAGAAACATTATTTCAGCTGCTTTAATTCAGGAAGAATTGGGACGTAAAAGGTCTTTCAAAGTACAAACCTTCTAATGCGTTGACTTTTACTGTGAAAATGTACGTTATCTGTTGCTCTTTGGGGTCCGATTTTTAGGCAGAAAACCAAAAAAGTATTTCCCTCCTGTTTTTCCAAAGGGAAGGACGTCCATTTCCGTTTTAGGTTTGCAGTTTCTCACAATTGTTCACACACATTTCTCAAAACAATAACGGCTTTGAGGAATGCACTTTCAAATCTGCCCAATTTCCGAGTGTCGTGCGTGCGTCGGAGCTGCTGCGTATTTTGTGGAAAAGATCATCTGCATACTCACCACTTGTCTTGTCAGACGCTCACTCGGTGTGAGATCTTCATTCTCCTCGCGGGAAGCATGCAAAGGGCAGCCTGTAGAGGAGGAGGCGTGGATCCCGGTGATGATGCAGGTATGCATGATGACGCTCGTATTAGGATGCGGATTGAAACGTGTGTCTTACCAGTTCGGCCGTCATTTGCTTAAGAATGCAACAAATGCAAAGCAAAGATGTTTTTTTGTGAGGGTAAATCCACAGCCGGTGAACTCCAGGTGAGCAGAAAGACCGGCGAGACGGTCCACAGAACAAGTCCCTCAATCCAGGCCTGCTGGCAGAACAATCGATTCCAGGAGAAACTGTTCATTGATTTTACCTCGAATGCTCTAAAAAGACTTCTATTATAGAGTTCAAGCTCATTTAGCGTTTATTCTCCCTTACACCGACCACAAGGAGGTGTGAGCCTTTTCTCTTCTTATGTGTCGAGAAACATTTTGTGGTATTCCTATTGAGAGTAAGAAATTTATTGGGATCTGGAACGACTTCCTATCTGTCCTTCCAGGGAAGGCAAGAGGACACCAGCCTGGGGAGGGACACCAGTGAGAGTCTGTTCCAGGGAGGAACTATGGGGATTACGACGCGCCAGAGAGAGAATGCCAGGAAAAATAAAGTCTGTCTTGTGTTTTTATTCAACACTCCTCAAGCTGAATATTTTATAGCCTGAATGTTGCAGTTTTCTATCAAAGAGTTTCTCACAAAAAAAATACAAAGCAGAATTTGTATTTAAATGTAAAAAATTGAAAGTGATCAAATAAATGACCCATGCTGACAAAAACAGCGTCTTTATTTTACATTGTTTTTATTTTAGATCCCGCAGACGGGAACCAGGACCATCCAAAACATTCAACAATGACACGGCAAGTGACAAGAGACACACATGGCTTAAATACACTGGGGAGGAGCTGGTGATTGGACACAAAAACAATCATGACACGACAGACAATCACAGGAGATGACAGGACAAGGCAGGAAGTGAAGTTACCCGGGAGACATGATGCAGAAAACTACAAAATAAAACAGGACGTGAACCCCAAACCGTGACAACTATTATGTTAAAAATAACTACTGTATTTTATAGGTAGTGTGATTCATTTTACAGTCGCCATACTGTGCACAGTCTAACTATAAAAATGTTCTGCGTTGTGTCCACCAGGGGGTGACTCCTCTGGTTCAATAGAAGTCTATCTAAAAAGGACATTTTTTGACATAATATTTCTTGACTTTATAATTCCATGATAATTTTTAACCTCACTTTTTATTTTAATTTTTTAACTTTTTTTCAATAACACGTTCATGACCATATATGTATATTTTTTTTAATGACCTAATACGTTTTGACTTTTTTTTTACAAAAAACATTTTTGACCAAAACATTTTAGATTTTTTTCAATGACATTTTTTGACGATATATATATATAGACTTACAAAACAAAAACATGTTTATGACCATCATTTTTTCTTTTAGTGACATTTTTCTACCCAATATATTTTGACAAAACATTTTGACACTCTTTCTATGTCATTTTTCAATATTTCTTTGACCCATTATTTTTTAACTTTTTTTTCAAAAACATGTTTTTGACCTTAAACATCCATCCATCCATCCATCCATTGTCAAACCGCTTATCCTGCACACAGGGTCGCGGACCTTAAACATTGTGAATTTATTTCCCTGACATTTTTGGACCTAATTATATTCCCATGAAATTCACATAATATATTTTTACTTTTTTGCAAAAACATGTTGACTATATATATTTTGTTATATATTTTGTTTAAATCTGATTTTATTCCAACTAATATTTTGACTGTTTTTGACCTTGTAGTTTTTTTGGCATATCTCCACCTTTTTCAACCTAATATTTTCTGATTCCTTTCTGTGAAATGTAATAATACAACATTTTTTTTTTCAAAAAACTTTTTTTTATATTACATTTGCCAGCCTAAAATATTTGTAATTGTTGAATTTTGTGACTTTTTTCAACTGGATTTTTTGACCAAATAGTTTTAAACTTTTTTGTTCATGACATGATTCAACCTATTATTCTTTGACTTAATATATTTTGTCTTTTTTTGCCTGAAATTTTTTGACCAAATTGATTGATAAATATATTTACTTTAACTTTTTTTAATTACATTATTTTTTATGCTTTTTTAAAATTATTTTTTTTCTTTTTTTCTGTGACATTTTTATTACTTTTCTCTTTTTTTTCAAGGACGTTTTTGACTTTTTTCTTGTGACATTTTTTACCTAATATTTTACTAATATTGAACAAGTAAAAACATACATAGTTGGGAAAATGTCATGCGTTTTTGTGAATAGCACACAAAATTGTTTTTGTTTTTTTGAGAACCAGACTATAATGTAGTTGAATGTGACGGGAAGTTTGTTAAATCAAATCAAATATCAACCAATGCAATTCATATCATAGATTTAACACAATCCCACCTTTTGGCTTCAAAGCATTTATATTTTGTTTTTCCATATGGGTGTGTGGTCATATGGACATATATAAGTCATTTCTCCTGGAATCTTCTCTCTTTGAATCCCTCAGCAGGGATCTTCTGAGCTGTCGGCACAAGCCATTGGTTTTGAGACCTGAATTTAATTTGACAGTCTGTCATATCACAAATACGACAGCGTATTCGCACACTTTTGTTCTGCCAATTTTTGTTTGTGAGTGCATGATCAATGCTGTTGCAGATTTAATTGAGATTATTGTTAATCATTTATTATTATGGGGGGAACTAATTGCTGGATTCATACATTTATTAATTAATGGATTTTAATGCATTAATGGATTTTCAAAGGGTTTTCTGCACTTATTAATTTTTGTAAGAAGGAAAATACCTAAACAATAAACACATTAGTTACCATTTAATTCATGAAAAAAAGGAAAGCGCCAAACTATGTCATTTTACTTGTATTACACCTTTTAAAGCTAAAGCCAATGTTTCATAAACCTGTCAAATAAACACAGTAAAGAATTTCTTTCTACTTATATTTTATTCATTTTCACCGCACATGTTCAGGAAAACACATGTGAATATGGGCTTGTTACATGAATATCTATTGTACTATAGATATTTGTTTCTTCAAAAAGACATGTTATGAGATGGAAATCGACTGGCATATAAATCTTTTTTTTTTTTTTAATAATAGTTTGGTATGTTACTTTTAAAATGAGATACATTGAGACACAGAATCGCAGGCACACACAATGTACAGTACTCGATACTCAAACCCCCCCCAGCAAACAAAAACAGTGGCTCCTTCGCTCACAGCCGATAGCGAGATCCAAATTAGCTTCCTGAAGGAAAATTGGGAGCTTTGTTTGAAGCCGTCATCGGACCAGCTGACCCTGACGCATGCGACGGACTGATAACTGAATTCAACATTCATTTTAAAGCGAGATCTTGTCTTCACCTCATGGGGAGAAATATAATAATCAGCTCTGCACAGCAACGAGCACCTGACCCCATTTAAACTCAAGGTCACTCCCAAATCCACCATGTAGACGTCTGCCAAATTAACACCAACTTTAGGAAAAGTGAAGCGCTTGGTTACAGGAATCCTTGGTTCATTTACGCGTGGTCTTTTTTTGGGGGGCACACTGAAAAAACGAGGCAAAGCGTCGACGAATTGAAGTGGAACAACGTCCACAACCCTCCTGACAGCCTCGTAATCAAGAAACACGTTGGCATGGTACTACATTTTTTTCGAGCCAGTGTTACTGAAAGCGACCTGGTAAGATTTGAGAAGGTCCTCTGTGGGCCGGCGTGGGTCTAACGCAGGACTTCCACCCAGGTGTCCGCCACATCTGTCCTTCATGAAATCAGACACCACCGAGTTAAGGGCGGTTGCTGATTATGTGCGATTGTTACGTTACGTTTTTACGCACAGTGTTGTTTTACGAGGCCGAAGCGGGTCGAATGGGGAAACGTTCTCTCGACCGGGTTAGTCGTTACGGCCTCGTGGTGAAGGAAGCTCATGACACCGGGTTTGATTGCTTCAGGCTCCTCCCCTTCGCTGCAGTCGCGGTTTAGGAAAGCGAGCCGATCCCAGAGCGGCGAGCTGAGTGAAACACACGACCCTTCGGCCGCCCGGCGCTCCGGCCCCCTGACGACGTGTGACGTTCTCTAATAAGTCGTACGAGGAGTCGGCTCCTTTGTCTAATTGGCAATCAATGACGTCCCTGCCGGGGCGGAAGGCTCGCCATGGTTGGCTTTACGTAACGCCAGCGAACGAGGATTCCCAGAGCTTTGGAGAACATGCTAATCCGCTGCATAATTCATCCCTTCTCCAGTCAGCTGATCGGTATTCATGAGGTTTAGCGTTCTTCTTCTGGGGGCATTTCGGCTGCCACTCAACCACGGCCACATTCGCAATTGATTTCCCTTTGCACCGAGCTTTAATCAGCCCTCCTGGTCTCAATAAAAACCCTGCGGCCTCGTCGGAGGCTGTCGAGCCTTTTTGTATCACAGCAGAGAGACACAGAAATAAAAATGACAGCTTTCTCGCGTGTCTTCGCGCTGATGTCCCAGGGGAAAGAGGCGAAGCGGTTAATGGTCACGTGTCACGTTCTAATTATGGCATGAAAACCCCAACAGAAACAAGACAAAATGCCACACTAGCAGGCAGCAGTGGTTGAAATCAGCATCTTGCAGAGCAATACAGTACAGAACGCACTTCACAGTAAGTCAAGTACAAGCCTTTTTTTCTATTATTTTTTTTTTTCTCCAAGCGAACGATGAAATGCAATCTTAATACGCGGTTCCGTTTCGCTCCGTCTGCCCTTATGATGAAGGAAGTGTGTGTTTATTGAAACACCTTGTTCACGTCTTCACACATTGTGAACTAATAACGCCTGCAACCATCGTCCCCCCCCAAGAGGCTGATATTGAGCTGCTGTGGGCAACGTTTTTTCTTTTACACCTCCTGTCAATTGTTTTTGCTCCCTGGGCGGAGGAAAGACGATGGCGTATAAAAGAAATAATACTAATAATAAAACAATGGACAGAGCCGTGAACGAGGCGCAATAACCACTTTTTTAATTCCAGCTGATAAAAAAAACTGCCTCTCGTGCGGAGGAGGTGCTGAGACACAGTGATGTTCGAAGGTGAGCTCTCGCCCACCCGCCCACTTCCTGTCGTAAAGCGGACACTTCCTCCCGGCGCCGCTGCTCAGACTCGGCCGCACTGATTGCAGCGACCCGGTCCGACCGAGGCTGCGGGATTCTGCCTCTACTGCAATATTGTGCTCAGGAGTTCATGTCCCCGAAGTGTTAAGGCTTTTTAAATCTCAATACCAGACAATTTACTGTACTGATGAGCTATACGGATGAACTTAACAAGAAGAAGAAGTAAGAGCGGCATAAAAGTTTATATATTCACAAATAAGCACAGTCAATTTGAAAGAAGTAGAGGATGGTAAAAAGAATTGGCCTGGTATTGTTTCCTCCCCCCCAACTCATGCCATATGTTTCGAGCCAGAGAGGAAAGGTTCGCAAAGCACCCAGTTATGGTTAATCGAACCCGCAGGGGGGCGTCGATCTATGGGCCGCAACACTTTAGTGTCGGTTCGAGGATCGAACGTTCGTCGGATCGATCGAGCTGCAGAGACGTTGCTTTGTGCAAGAAAATGCATTTTATCGTTTATATTTCATGGAATCTTTCTCTAAAAAAAAATCAATGTAGGAAAATTTCAACCCAACCGTGTACTTGGATACTCTGCGAACTCGTCCTCCTGCGGGCCAGTAAGAATGGGGGGGTTAGCATTAGCGATAGCTGCGGTTAATGGAGCCACAGGGTGGCCATGGCGAGCAGGAGCGACGGCCCCAGGGTGGAGACCAGGGAGGCGGCCAGGAGCCTCCCGTCGTTCACCAGCCTGAAGGAGATGACCTCCACCTTGAAGCCGTCCTCGGTGGCCATGCAGCGGAAGACGCCGTTCTTCAGGGGCGTGTCCACGGCCGGCCCCAGGACGCAGAAGTCTCCGGAGAAGAGGCAGGGATAGTTCCTGACGCAGTTGTCCTTCTCCCAGCGGTACGTTGCGTGGAAGGAGCGCACGGGGCACGGCAGAAAGACGGAGGTGTTGGACTGCACCATCACTTCTCTGGGGGAGGTGCGGCGCTGCTTCAGAGCTGCAGGGACAAGGACATTTCTTCATGCCTAAACAATCCTCATCATCATCTGTTATTTCGCCGTTTACACACCAGGTATTAGAGAACATATGATGTATATTATGTGAAATGAATCAATTTGCTGCGTGATATTAGTTAAGATGAAAACACCATCTGGGGAAAAGAGGTGGTCACAGGCCTGCGCCATCACTCACACGACTGGAAATAAGACAGCCGTCCCCACAGAGGGGATAATTGCCATCTTTAGTTGAGGCTATTACTGCTTTCTGAGCTTTGAAACAGGACAGGCCATTTGAGAAAAACCCCTGCGGGTGTTTGGACTCAATTATATGATACTCGTCTTTTCCCTGCAGCGGCTCAGAGAAGGTTCTCGTTTTGGTTTAACGGAAGGAGTGAGGAGGCAGATGTGGGCTCACCAGCAGCTTCCCCACAAACCGAGGAGTTTGAATGGTCCAGGTTCTGGACAAGCGTCCTGTGGGACAAAGGAAATGGGACAAATCAGCAGCGTCAAATGGTCTCACAAAGGGCTGAAGAGGCGTCAACCCACAGATCGATCACTCGACATCTAATCCCATCCTACCTGGTGGTGTTGTTGTGTCCGGGCGGGATGGGCAGGCACCTCCTCCTGGCGCGGTCCCAGCCGCAGTACGGATCCCGGGAAAGGATGCACTCCCTGCAGGTGTCGCCATAGCGACTGCAGTCAGCCAGCGGCAGTCTCTGGACCTCCATGGCTGTCCCGACGTACAGGTGTCCCTGAGGAGGAGGAGGGGAGACGACTCAATGACTGAAACGGTCGCTGTCTTCCTAAAAGTTTTTTTTTCTTTTCTTTTTGGTATAAAAGAGCCTCTGATGGAGATTTTGAACAAGGGGTTAAAGAAAGAAAGATGGTTGGTTCAGAAATGTTCACAACAACTGTATTCTGCGGTTTGCAGAAACATACAATTCAAGATAAAAGGTTTCCAAGCCCCCCCCCCAACGTTATTCCTCGTACCTTCTGGGAGTCAATAGCCATGTTGAGAACGGGGCCCTCATTGTGGAACAGAGAGTACTGAGATATGATGAAGACGCCCTCGCTGGTGTGCAGAACCTTTAGAATTTTGCCCTGGTCTGTGAAAACACAGAGGGAGAAGACGTCGTAGATGGAGAGGGGGGGGTGGGGAGGGGTAGGTCAAAGGTCAGCAGTCTTGTAAATTCATCTACAGGTGCACGCATTCGGAAATCAGACCTCCTCGTTGTTTCAGTGCTTTACATGAACTGTACGTGCTTCTCTCTGGACGTGCGTTCCTGAAGGAGACGCTGCTCTGAAAAGGGAAATTAACCTCAGAACGTTTTCATTCCTGAGTGAGAGGACGGGTCCCAGACGGGTCCCAGACCCCCGGACCACTTGGCTCGGTTGCCTAGAGACGGTAATGGGGCCTGTGCACACGCTGGTGTTGCTGGACATTAGTGCGATAACACAGATGAGATTTCATGCAGATCGTAAATGGAGACACGCTGTGGTCGACAGAATCGTTTTGTAAAGTCTCTCTCAGGAACGACAGCAAAGCCTCCCGTCGTGCTTTTTATTTCCGGTGCTGCAGGAATGATTCAAAGGGACCACGTCTTTGTGAATGTTTGCCGCTCACTGCCTTGTGAATCAGGGTCGCTCCCGAAAATAATAATGTGTCTCGTCAGTCGTGACTTTGGGTTCAGGGCCGTTTGGTCTTCTGTCGCGTGCAGCTGGATTTGGGGAATGAATGACGATATCGTCTTCCTCTTTCCTCATCAAACAGTGACTTGGCAGGTGGAACGGCTCTCTGCTGGAAGGCGTTTGAGATGATTTCTACCTTCCCCCGCTGGGAAAACGTGATTACAGTGATGCCTTTTTATCTCACATCTTCATTTCCTTCGTGCTCCCTGCGTGAGGCTTTCTCAAATTCACAATTTTCCCCAGCGGGCTCTCGTCACGTCGTCCTGAAACTGTCTCGTCGCTTTCTCATAAAGTTCAACTTTTTCTTTGTTGGTTCCTCTCTGTGATTCTTGAATCATGTCCACAGCTGCTTCCATCTCTATAATCAAACCCGTGCGGTACTGTCATCGGTACGAAGGGTGACGGCGTTGAACCGCTGCGGTTCTGCTGAGATAATCAGTTTTTGGTCTTTGCTGACTGCATCCTTTCACAGCGAACACGTTCCCGAGAACCTTTTCACCATCTGCACAGCTTTGAATTTTGGGCTTCTGTCCCGAAGTCAATGAATGCATTTTCCAGCCGGCCGATAAATTCAAACAGTGACCTCAGCTCATTCACGCCGCGTCACGCAGTCGTCTTCTACACCGCGTGTCCTTGGAGAGTCGCATGCGGCAGCTGGCGTCGGGCGAGAGGGGGGAAAAGAAAACCAACCACTCACTCTCACACTCACACACCCGCGGGCCTTCCACGAGGACCCGCGAGGGCGAGATCTAAAATACCAGCAGTCAACTGGAGCATCAGAGCGGGGACGAAAGGAAGTTAAAGGAAGCGGGTCAGGAGGAAACGTCTGCGCCTCTTTGAGTCCGCTGTGAAACCGCGACGGCTGCCGGCGGCTGCGTCTCCGAGCCGACCGTCATCAGAGAAGCTGCTGATTGTGTGCACGAAGATTGCGAAATGATTTGCAGGTTCGGTAAAGAGAAGACAGAGGAGTTATCAGCGTCCAAACCCGCCCTGTCAGCTCGCGTCTCACATGAAAAGCCCCCCGAGAGCAGTTAGAAAGGGGTCATTCAGCTGACTGGGACTCCCAGTTTGTTCTGGGTCGACATCTTAAAGTCCTTTCCTCTGGCTTCCAAACAGCTCACAACTGTGACCGGAATAAACAATGTGAGTGGGACATTAGGTGATTATGTTCAGCACGGCCCCCCGTCCAGGTGCCCTTGAGCAAAGCACCCACCGTCTCGCCCGTCTGCTGCTGTAATATCAAAAGTATTTATGCATGCGTCACATACGGACCAGCTTGGTCGTGAACGTTCGAGAAAAGCTCTGGAAGAAAACTAAGCATGTGACCTCCACAAGAGGACGAGGCCACGAGGGGACGATCGTCCTCTGGTGGAAGTCTGAGCCGCTCTAAAGCATCAGGAAGAGCCGCCTGTCACTCAGCAGAGATTGGATTATTTTCGAGGAGCGAGCTTCTCTCCGCCGTTTGTGCATTTAATGGCGAAGGCGCGTTCGGAATGAGTCCTGCCGACTGTTGGTCCCACGGCCCCGTGGACTCAATGGACGGCGATGCGGCGTTCACGGGAATCACGGGGCCTCCGAGCTCGAAGGAACAAAGCAACTTGTCTGATCCCGTCTTTCTTCAATCAAATCAAATTGACTCACTGAGAAGGAGCACAAACCCCCCCCGGTGCTGACCCAGATACCAAAGCCCCCCGGCGAGGAGGCCAGCTTCACTCTTTTTGGCAGCTATTATGAGAAGCAGCCCCCGATCTGCCCGATGGCCGATGGCCACACGTCCACTGCGCCCCGGAAGATGACACTTGCTCATCTTTTGGGGCGAAGTTCAGCGTGGTGAGACACGAGCATATGACCAGCGACGGTTGCCATAGTAACCTCCCGCAGGCGCAATGCAATTTGGCGAGAAGCTGCTGCTCCGATCACATGGAAAACCGCCCCGCGGGAGACGGAAGCGTTTGAAAGGATTTTCCTCAGAACCTCTTTTGAGCTTCCTGGTGAAACAACAAATGTTTTCTCGTTATTTAGGAGACCAAATGAGAGCAGAGAGAAAACCAGAAGGACCAACACGACCCCAGTGGGATGATGGACGTCCACACAACCAAAGCACCTCCTCCAACATCTATTAACCACAACACACACACACACACACACCTGTGCCGAGGTACAGGACGCTGTAGTGCTCGTCGTTGACCGCCAGGACGATGTCCGCCACGGCGTGCGTGATCTGGTCGTCCGTGGGCAGGTCGAGCGGGGCCACGCCCACGGGCCGGATCACGTCCTCGATCTCCGGGTGGTACCGGATCACCCCGAGGTTCTTGATGTCGGCGTGATCTCCGGCCGTGGAGTTCTTGCGGACGCACTGCGGGGGGGGGAGTGACGTAATGACGATGTGCCTTCCAACAGAGTTCCACATGCTTTTCTTTTGTCAACGCAAAACGCCGTTTCAGAAACAGCAGCTCAACCGTTTCCCCTGGAAGAAACGGCTGAGTCATGCAAGACGCGTTTTTACCTTCATGCTTTTTACCAGCGGGACAAATGAAAGACGAAGTAACAGAGAGAAATGTTGGGATTCTTTCTCACCGTCCCGGGGCGACTGCCGCTGAACGAACTGCTGTAACCCTTCAGCTTGGACGTGGAGAAAGCCTTGTCGATGTCCTCGATGGAGTACGCACAGATCACCGTCCTGCCCCTGAGCGAAGACACAGGACAGAGTGAGGACAGGCCCGGAGAGGCCGCAGGACGAGGGACCACGAGGGAAAATGAGGGAAGATGAGGGACGACAGGGGACCACGAGGGACAGTGAGGGAAGATGAGGGACGATAAGGGACCACGTGAGACGATAAGGGACCACGAGGGACAGTGAGGGAAGATGAGGGACGACAGGGGACCACGAGGGACAGTGAGGGAAGATGAGGGACGATAAGGGACCACGTGGGACGATGTGAGACGATGAGGCATTTCGGCCTTACTGCGAGAAGACACTTTTCTGATGAGGACAGAACAGATATTTTGATGTAATTCATGTTTTGGAGCGTTCTTTAATTCATCTGAAAGGTGATTTTAATGGAATAATTATTTCCTATTGTGACTTTTTCCACATTTTGACACAACATGTTAAGACGTGTGATTTCATTAGCCATGAAAACGTCTCATTGGGAATATTCCTCTCCTTAGGTAACAGGTACAACAACAGGAATACTGCAATTAAATGATGTCTTTTTTCTCTTGTTGTTGTCGTCAAACATTTATAAACATACAACAACATATATTCTTTTCCATTTAGGAGGCTAGAAGAGTTTAACATGTGTTTGTTTTAACTGTGACAGGAAGTGCAAATAAAATTCGATTCAAGCTACGATAATGTTTGGTATTATTGTTACGTTACAGACAGACGAGTAAATCGATCTCATCACGTAAGTACAACCACTGGGATACACAGTGTGTACATACACATGTCTTTATTTAGTTGATATTTGGTTACTGTGTTTTTTTTTTAACTCCCTTTTTATTTCCCATTTCAGAATGTTTCCACGTGATACAAAGTGAATCCTCTGCGGCTCTCTTATCATCGCCCTGCAGAGAGGTGCTCTGTAATATCGCATGTGGGCCAGCTGATATCGCTGGAAGTGAGTTTGTGAACAATTATTTGTGATCAAATATCCGATGGAATGAGGAGCTTGAACGTGTGGGCGTGCACGTTGTGCTGGTATCTGCTGAGTGGGTTGAGAAATGTCAGCCACTGCGTTAGCTTCTTATATTCATCACTGTTTTTTCATTCTATATTTGCATGTTCCAGCACATTTTGGTCACGACTGACGACTGGTCACGAAGACCTGCAAGCAAAGGAACGCTGCTCAAAATATGCATGAAAGTTTCACTCTCGTGAAGCAGCCTACGATTCCCCCGCGACGGCGTTGGAGCACCTTGCCGATCGGCTCCGGCTCACCATGCGTTGGAGAACAGGCCGTACAGGACCCCGGCCCTCTTGTCCTCCGCCGTCAGCACCACCGCCTGCTTCATGTTGTTGTACTGCTGCTGCGTGTTTCCTGCGCCGCACATCACCCGCGCCTTCATGAAGGTGGTCCACGAGTCCGCCAGCAGGGCCCTGATGCCGCCTTCGTCCACCTGCGAGCCGCGTTAAGAAACTCTGTGTCTCCTGGCGGCATCATTCCCCCCCCATCAGACGACCCCAGAAACCGCCTCATCTTTACCGTGCAGATGCGGCCGATGCGGGCTCTGTACGGCTCCTCGTCCACGCGGGCTGTCTTGTTGATCTCGCTGAAGAAGAAGTACACCTCCTCCTTGTACTTTACTGAAGAGGGGATTATGGCCGCGCCCGCGAACTGCGGATCTGGTGATGAGATTGAAAACGCGTGGATCGAGATGCGGCTTTATCTTCGTGCATTGATCCAGACAGAAAAATGTATTTTTCACTGACGTTTAGCCTGGTGATATTGGAGAGAAGGCATCTCCTGGGCCGGTACCTCCACTTAAAACCACAGAACTCACCGTGAAGACGTAGATTGATAAATAGCACTCGAGGTCAGTTTGTCTAAACCGTGTTTAAAGAAGAGCAGGTCTTCTGTGTCATATTGTTCCTGCTGCAAATAGAATCGCGAGCCAAGCGACAAACAGGGCCACAGAAGACGCTCCTACATGTTGCCCCCTGCGGCGCGCCACCCACCATCTCCGCACGCATCAACCGAAACGCGTGACTCCCTCCCGCCCACTCACTCAGCAGCCAAACGTTCTCCGTCTTCAGGAGCTTCTGGGAGCCAAACGTTCGGCGGATGGAGCCGGCCTGACCCCCCACCGACGACATGGCGGAGTACAGGCTCCCATCTGGAGGCAGGCGGGGAGAAGAGGGCACAAAGGTCAGAGGGAGGTTAGAGGTTAGAGATCGAAGCTGGAGGAGGATGCAGAGAGAGAGAGAGAACATCGCAAAGAAGACATGAAGGCAGCTGCCCCCACTGAGAGGTAGGAACCAATCACAACCCCCCTCGCAGCTCTGTCTCCATAGCAATGCAGGGAGGGGGGTGGAGGTGGGGGGGCTGGAGACGGCAGCAGAGGCTTCTTCATTAAACTGATGCTTTTTACAACGCTGCTCATGTGAAGCGAAGGAATCGAGGAAGACGAGTAACTGCTCTTCGTCTCTGACCGTCCAGCCTGAATAATCACTGGAAACGTGTTTCGTTATCTTGAAACGTGTGTGTTGGAGGTTGTATTCGGCCGATGCCATGGCAACGACCTGTCAATCAGCAGTTAGCCCCGCCCTAAAGCATCCTCCGCTTTACGGTCTGTTTGGCTCTAAATGGAGCATCATTTACTAAATGGACATCACGCTGATTTAGATTTAGAGATGGAGACTTAGAGTGGGAATAAGTGCTGGTTCATTATGGTAGAAAAGCACCGCTGGTGACCTTTGACCCACCGCGTTAAAGGATCGGCCCGTTGTGAAGCACAATCTTGTCTCCAGATTTGCTTTTTAAAGCCAGAAGTATTTTGTTTGTTGCTGTTGCGAGTCAGGATGATTTCAGACGATGTTCTCCGCCGTGCGGCAGATGTCTGACTCCCGGACCCCCGAGTGAGCGATCTGCTGAGGCTCACGAGCCGCTCGGGTCCGGCTGCTGCTCTTATTCGTGTTCAAGCTGTTTCCCTCAGGTTGGTTTCTGAATCGAGGGTCTGAGGACGGAGGGAGTTTTATTCTTCAGTGTTTAGTGAAGCTCCTCTTCTTCATCTTCTTCTCTATTTCACTAAGTAGCGGGGCTCTGGTTGGTAGAGCCCGGATTCACCTCACAGCTTTTGACATTTTCATAAGGAAACACATCTTGTTAAAGGTGAAAGATGAAAATCTAACGTACAAATCTGTTGGAGGATTCTGTGAAAAATAATATGAGGTAATTTAGATAAAAGCATGTGTGCTTGTCATGAATAGAGTGATAATAAGAGACACCAAAATTATCCAATATTTGAAAATGTGTTTCAAATCATTATTATTTCCTTCTTTGTAAGCCTCAGATTCCCAAAACCCACATAATTCAATTATTATGAAGAAATAACTTTTATTGGGAGCTGCTCAAACCAGAATTTAATTTCAACGGCTTTTGATTCAAATGTGAACTTTATTGTTGTGTCTGAATCCACTATAAATACTTCTAAGGGAAATGATCATTGAACGCGGCTCCATGTCTGTTTGTACTTGGTGACGTAGCGCGCTAGCTTCTGGCTACCTTAGCGGTTTGCCTTGTGCTGCTTCTATCGCGGCTACCTACGAGCTAATCCCCCGGTCCGCCTTGTTGACGTGACCTGAACTCCACCGGCTCTGATGTCAAGAGGCTTTGTTACCTGCAGGCAGGCTGATGGACCTCTGGGACGGGTAGGGGGGCGAGATGTCCGAGGACGGCCCGATCTGCCCGTTGCCCTGGACGTCAGTCAGCACGCTGTCGTTCACCTGGCGGGAGGCAGAGAGCTTTGAGCCTGCAGGAGGTTTGACCTTTTTTAAAGCGCCGTCCTGCATCACCGTGCAGGGAGACGCCTCGGTTTGCTTTCCTGAGACCTGACGCATCGTCTTTGTGTCAGCAGCACAGAGAAATAAGTGATAACCACTATTGATCTTCATGCTATTCAGGCTTTAAACGATGGAGCATTTAAGAAGGTCTTACCAGCATCCAGCACCTGGGGCTTCCAGCATTCGTTCCACATACTAATAGTGTGTCGTTTACTTTCTGAATGACGGTGATGAAGTTATCGCACTCCAGCTGTGAGAACGAGAGAGCGGGACAAAGGCAGAGAATGAGTGGGGGGGGAAATGCACCGATTTGGAGGCGAAAGAGAGTTGAGATAGTGGAGGATATTATTTGAGAGAATGACGAGACCAAAGGGACCAAGAAAACAAAGAGCGGACGAGAGGAAGGCGGAGTAGAGAGACAAAGCACAACGTGAAACACATGACGAGCGCCAGAGGAGACATTTAGGAAGAATTGGCGGTGATCCGTGCGCGCTGAACATCTTTGGGGGCTTCAGGACATTAGCAAGACTCTGTCTCATCGGCATCACTGGGTGGAGTATGGAAATGAACACTGAGCACAGCGTGGTGGGGTGGATTCTGGTTTTAGGTGGTGCATACTGATGGGTCATAGCACACACACACACACACACACAAAAGTGCTTTTTAGAAAATGATTAATTCCCAAATTCTGATGAAAACCGGGCCAGTGAAAACTGGAGACGGCCGTGCAGCACAAAGTGTGGCTGGTGGACGTGTGTGTGGGAGGACGCGTGGGTCGGACGGGTGATCTCTGTGAGGGCGTTGCTTCATTTGGGCTTCGTGTGCTTGTGTTTCTGCATGTTCGTGGCTCACACTCAAATCGGGACCGAGGCCGTAGACCTCTGGTGTGCGTGGAGCAGCAGCAGCTCCTCCGCCTGCCCGCCTATGTCCCGTCTCTGTCTTTAAAACTGTCAAATAAAGGCAGAAATGCCAAACGTGATTCTTATAAAGCTTTACCAGAGCCGAAGGCGACATTGTGCATAAATGACAAATGTAAACCTGAATGCCAGCCTGTGAGCGCTGGTTCATTTGGGCTTTTGAGAGATTTGAGATGAGCTTTAATTAAAGCTAAAACGTGGCGTCCACTCAGAATGGACATGAGGAGCACTCGAGAGTCTATTGAATCACTTCCTGTCGCCATGGAGGGTGTGAAGAACGTGGCCTTCTGTCCTTCATTCCCTCCCCAGAGCCATCGGCTGAATCAAGATTCATGCGTTCCTCTTCAGCGTGGACACCATCGTGCTCACTGTGAGGTTCATTCTTCTCATTCGGGTAGTGAATACCGCGTTCACCCTTCTGAAGAGGCCTGTCGGCTATGATGAGCTTCTCAGATTTGAGTCTGTGTGGGACATTGGAACAGAAGCCAAGTCTTGAAGGAATTTTAACTTAACAAATGCAGAATTTTCCCCCAGAGAATCAATGAAAAATGAGTTTCAATGATCTTGGTAATTTCCTTTAATTATAAAATGACTGAATGTCCGAATTATTGTTTATTCAATCGATTTAAAAAGGGGGGAAACGGTCCTTGCATTCAGAGTGCAACCTTAAAGCAGAATACATGTGATCTTCTCCCCACCTTGTTGTCTGGATTCCTGTAGAACTTCAAGCAGCCGCGTATTCTTCTGCTTAGGATCATTCCTGAGCCTCGCTGCTTTTCACGAGCCGAAGCTTCCTCGCGCCCGTTGGACTCATTTCATGTGGAATGTGTGAATCTGTACTATAGATTCTCTGTTCTCGGGTGTTTGCTTTGAGGTGAAGTTTTCTCATGTTTAACTGACTGACTGACTTGTGCATGATTTCTTTTCTGTCTGTTTTTTGTTGCGAATGATCATGAAGCCAGGAGATGACGGCGTGGAGGAAAACAGGATGATGGGCGGAGGAGACGGCCTCCTTAGAGCTGATGGGGGGGGCTCCTACCTCGAGCGGGCTGGACTTGGCCTTGCAGGTATCGATCGCAGTCTGGTCGGACGCCGCTGTGATCTGTGGGAGGAGAAGGACTGTTTAGTTTGTCATGAGACACGATCCTCTGCCATGTCTGCCTTCATCCCACTAAATGTGTCCCCCCCCCCCCCATTGTTTGCCCTGAGAGTACCAGGAGGGACGAACCCGTAGAGCCTCGTGCACAACTCTTTCACGCTGAATGTCTGCCACTTGGGTTCTTTAATCCCACGAAACAACGCCGCTTCTCTCGCTGCTCTTTTTTAGGAGAACAACAACTGACGAACTGTCCTTTAAGTGAGAGAACGGGCTTCAAACAGCCCTCCGAGTCGCCTCGTCTCCACGGAGGAAAAGACAGCACAGAGCCAGCAGTCGTTGCTAAAAATACCACCGTGGTATTTGGATGAAACGCGTCGGTCTGCTGACACCAGTCACCCAGCGAGAGACGTTTTCTCCCCTCAAAGCGTGCAGCTGCATCAATGCATGCTACTGGACCGGGTCGGCTGGGTCTCATCGCTCTCTCTCTCTCTCTCTCTGCCCTCCCGCCCTCCCAGCCGGGGGGGGGCAGAGAGGGTTGGTGCACCTGACCCACTGCATGCTTTAACAGTGGTTTCACTTGTTGAGATGTCAGTACGGCCCGCACGGCGCCGGGAGGAGCTTCAATGGAGAAAAGGGTTCTTTAACTCTGGTTCAACCTTTGGATCCCGTCTGCTTGTTTTGCACAAAGGGGCGGGACCTGAGCGCCACAACAATTCAGAGCAGATATACAGTTTTACAGGATTCAAGCTGAATATTAATTAAGGTTTTATGAGATTTAAATTGAAAATTTGCAGATAAAAAACTAAGCTTTTAACAAGAAAGGAGTGGATCTGATCTTTGTCAAGTTGAACGAGTAATAAAGTTTACCCTCTGAGTTGAACCTTCTAGTTTACTAAATGAAGCTTAGGCGAAAATTCAGTCAGGAAGACTGGACAGGCTGTGCCGTTCCCTGGTGGCCTCCTCTCTCCCTGGGGGCCTCCTCTCTCCCTGGGGGCGCACGGCCAGCTGATTGGGGGCGGGGTCGGGTAGTATCAGACGTGGGTGTCGTTACCGTAAACCAATCGCATTGGGGCAGGCAAACGTTAAAAACTGTTCTCCTCTCTTGTGCTGTCAGTTGTCATTTCAGCACGCTCCAAAGGTGAAGCGTAGCGTTCAGTTAGCGGGTCCTGCACCACAGCGTTGCCGTCAACTCCGAAGGTTCGATTGGATGTCGGTCGATGGTGAAGGAACTAGCTCAACAAACCCGAGCCGCCGAGCCGCAGGCGTGGTAGCGCGCGCGCACAAGGCAGAAAGTGGTGTAAGCAACGAGCTTCCCTCTGTCCAGGTGTGAGTGGGTGAGGCTCACAGCTGGCAGAGAGCGGGTCGATCCCTCCCTGCCACCCGCACCTGCACGGGGAAGGACGAGAGAAGCGCAAGCAGCCCATTATGTTACATGTAACGTTCATTCAGCGGAAGCTTTTATCCTAAGGGACGACACGCGCATTCATCAGAGGGTACAGAACCAGAACCACATAAGCAAAAGCACAAATTAATGCTTAATTAAGAGCGGGCAGCAAACACTCTGCGTGTGGTTAAGAGGTTACCGTTCGCGCTGTGGGGGAGCGACAAGCACACTACGTCTAACCGGGAGAGCGCAGCACCCGGAGTGTTCTCCCTCAGATGCTCCGGGCCATCGAGGACGGACATCGCCGTCATCTCCACGCTGGGAAACGCGCAGATATTCCGTCCACAGCAAGCAGCCGCGTAGCCCTCAACACTCGGCAAGCGACGCTCCACAGCCACGCAGATTGAAGCGGCTCGACGTTTCACAGGCATCCGATGTCCCCGATCGTCCACCGGGCGGGCATGCAGATACTAAACGGCTCAGGTGAAGCTCCGCGACACAAGCTACCGGCCTCCGCGTGATGCCAGCGCGGCGCCCGGCGCTCCGGGAGGGTAAAGTAGCAGCTCCATGGTCGAGAACGCAGCTGGCGGCTACGAGACGTTAGTCGCGCGGTGTAATGTATAATGTAATGTATAAGGTAATGTTTACTCTGAGAGGTGGCATGAGTCAACGGTAGACTCCTTCAGCATTGAGTGGCGATTTCAGTGCGAACTACGGGAGTAATAGTTACAACCAGCACCGGAGAGGAGTACGGAAGCGCGAAGCAGAGAAGCGCTTCAGAGGGGGACGTTGACTCACGTATTAATGATACTTCGGGTAGTTTGAACTTGTAATTTCCGCGCTAGAAGGATCCACTGCGGGTGCATGGGTGAGGATAAAGTGCTGCTCAGGTGCCGTATTGCTTTTATAATACGGTGCCAGCGAATTTATACAAAGTAAATAAATTGCGGCAGCACGATCATATTTCGGTAGCCTTTAGGGATGGTCCCGGTACGTGCAGGTCCCCAAGGCACGGATATCGAGGCGCGCCTGCGACATCTGGTTTACTACGAGCCCGTTCGAGCACGCGAACAGCATCGCAGCCACGGAGCTGCACGCGACAACCTCTGTATGACAGGTCAACCCTCCACGTCTCCGTGGAGCGAAGGAGCGCGGCATCGGCAGGGCCGGGTCTACCACGGGGTAGGCCTTCCACACAAGCAGCTAACACTTCGACACGATTCAAACGGAGCTGTTCACGGTGTTGTTTGTTTTGGCGATCGTCCACAGAATCCTAAGCAATAATAGCAGGCGCCTGTTCCACGTGCGTGCGCACCAGAGGTGGTAGTACGGTGACGGGTCATGATAAATAAATAAATAAATAAATAATAAATAGTGGTTAGCCCTCGGTTGCATCGTTGGGCAAGTGACCGGTTGACAACCACAATTGCATTCGCCAACTGTGCGACTTCTTCCAAAGGCTAAGCTACTGAGGAGGTGGGCAGCTTTAAGTTGGTCAGAGCAGCAGCACAATGGGTTTGCTTTATTGTCGCCATACACATCACATGCTGCTAGCTGGACATACCGGCTTATTTGTCCCAACCACCTCAACTAAGCTGGGGACAGGAGCCGCACTGACAGCGTTGGATGGCGTGGGTTCAATGGGATAGTGTCACGGCTCCAACAGCGGCTTTTGGGGGCAGCAATGTTAAGACAGATGCAGGCCATCTGTGTTTTTGGGGGGTTATTTCAAGCCACAGCAGGCCAGACCATGGCTCTCCCTTTTTAGTTGATTCTTGGTGTGACAATCCAGCGGGGTTGTTAATATGAGTGGTAACTTATATGCGCCAACCACGGGTAAAAGGCTTTGCCTTACTGGCTGTACCACTTAAGGAAGTTGGCCCCTACCGTACTCAGGGAATTATTTAGGGGCAGCTGAAACTACAAACCAAGGTATTCCCTATTCATCCCTGCCATCAATGGGGAGTTGGGCTGCTGCAACCCCCACGTTCACCAACTTCCAGGACGATGAGTTTGATTCAGGAAAGCCTTAAAAGTTCGGTAATCATGCATTTATTGATGTCATCATTCACATAGCTCTTGTATATCGGCAGTTGGTTTGCCCTGTGGCCCGTGGTACCAGATATCATTCATGCAGGTTTGTTCAGCCCTAAGTAGTCCACACCGTTTATTCAAGGGGATCTTCGCTCGTGGCCCTAAACGACCTGGCATGACAGTGATAGACTCTGTAATAATAAATAAATAATCTGGTCTCACCTGACCCGTTTGCAGTTCTGAAGGAGGTCCGTCAATTGACCTGCCAACCTGGGATCAAGTTAGGTTTGTGGTCTTACGTGACCAGTCCAGCTGACTTCATGGAGAGTTGCGGGCTAACCGGACCAGTCAAGCTAACACTGCGTTTTCTAGCCTAACGCTACCTGTTAGCAGACTCCAGTCACGCCTCAGGGATAGGGGGAGGCACGAGTTGGCATGTTTCTTAAAACTGGGGTCATAAACAGAGGGGTGATATACATGGCTACGGCAGCCGCTATCTGCTTTGCTGCTGTTCTGCATGTTAACTGCCCTATCTCCGCAGGTTGAGCGCCAGCCATCAAGTTCGATGTTACCTTCCTGAGTTCTCTGAATACTCACCCTAGCTTCACATCACTGTGGCAGGCAGCTCTAATAGAGGCGGTCCTACACACTCAATATGGAGGCCCTCGCTGGCGGGTGGCTCGCACTGATTGCCGCCGTGCTGGTTTTGAATCTATACCACAACATCTAGGATCCACCTCCCCATTATTCTCAACCTAGAATAACTGCTAAAGCTGCAGCAGCTAACCAAGGCATTCCCGTGATAAGCCGGCAGATGATAGGGTGGTGGTCGCCGTCTGCTGCGACGCTCCACTTCCGCCCTGACCATAGCAAGCAAGCAAGCAAAGCAAAGCACTCGCAAGCAAGATCTGTGAAGCCATAAGAGCTGGTAAGCATGCATATAACTGGTGCTGGTGGTGGTGTTGCCCTTCTGGCATTGTTGGAAGGGCACTTCAGGGTCCCCGGGTTGGGGACTACCATTGTTCCTTACAGTCTCCCTTAAATCTAATCTTCTAGGTGAACGTGACCTGTCTTAACGTGTCTGTGTTTCCTAGGTTTGACGTTACCTGGCTTAACGTGTCTGTTTCCTGGGTCTAACGGGACCACATCCATTACCCAAAAGATGTCCGGATGGACCAGTCAAGCTGACAACACTCTGTTTCGCGGTCTTACAGTACCAGTCAAGCTGACTACCTTTCTGCTTCGCGGTCTCACGGGGCCAGTCAAGCTGACTACCTTTCCATTTCGCGGTCCCGCAACCGGTCACTCTAGTTAGTGCAAGTGCCGGGCCTGAGCCGACCCGTCAAGGCGACGGTGGTCCGTTCAGCATGGTTGAATCCAACCAGTCCGGGACATCCAAGTGACCATCTGTTTCCCGGTCTGAGCGAACTCGGTCCTGTTGTTCTGTGAGGGGCCCTTCGCCACTAAGTCTATTCTGCGGACACTCTCTGACCACAACTGTTCTGATCAGCGGTCCACCGTGACCACTCCTATCTGGTCTGCTGACTTACACGACCACAACTTGTCCTTGACTGCGGAAAACTTCTACCCTCAACATATCTGGTCCTTAGATCTGGCAAACCCTCTCTTTAC